GAGGTTAGCAATACTGGAGGAAGCGAGCCTGATAGCGAGTTGTTGGCCAAGTCACTAACGAGGATGATGGAGCGAGGTTCACAGAAAACAAAGATGTTTCGAAATGTTTTACGCAGGCAGGAGGACTGTGAAGTCAGTAACGAAAAAAGCAGAAATGGAAGGCTCGACATGGGTAGGGCAAAAGCTTGGGAGCAATGGAAACGGAACAGAAAGTTAAGCCACTTATGGGCTAGCAGCCTGCTACTAAGTACGTTAAGAGCTTGACCTATGAAGAAATGTTGGCGTTAGCCTACAAAACATCCCTGGTGCTTCAACCTAGTAGGCATCATCGTAGAATAAGCTTACAGCCTAAGCAGTGTGGTGAGGAGCCCGATATTGGAGCATATGGATCCGGGAAGAACCCTCTCGTGGAGGACTCTAGAGGGGGATGGGGACGGGGACGGGTGGGAAGGGGGGAGGGGGGAGGGGGGAAAATAAGGGTGGAATGAGAGAGGATAGGTGAGGAGTGGCGTGATGGGCAATGTGGTGAGGAGAGCCGATATTGGAGCAAATGGATCCGGGAAGAACCCTCTCGTGGAGGACTCTAGAGGGGGATGGGGACGGGGACGGGGGACAGAGAATAAGGGTGGGGTGATAGGGTAGGTGAGGAGTGGCGAGGTGAGGAGGCGCTATTGGAGCAGATGGACCCAGAAAGAACCCTCTCGTGTAGGACTCTAGAGGGGATGGGGACGGGTTGTGGGTGGGGTGGGAAGGAGGGTGGGGGCCAATGATGGAATGAGAGTAGATATGTGAGGAGTGGCGTGATGGGCAATGTGGTGAGCAGGCCAATATTGGAGCAGATGGATCCGGAAAGAACCCTCTCGTGTAGGACTCTAGGGGGGATGGGAACGGGGGAGGGGGGGTAGAGAGAATAAGGGTGGGGTGAGAGGTTAGGTGAGGGATGGTGAAGTGAGGAGGGAATATTGGAGCAGATGGATCCAGGAAGAAACCTCTCGTGTAGGACTCTAGGGGGGATGGGAACGGGGGAGGGGGGTAGAGAGAATAAGGGTGGAGTGAGAGGTTAGGTGAGGGATGGTGAAGGTGAGGAGGAGAATATTGGAGCAGATGGATCCAGAAAGAGCCCTCTCGTGTAGGACTCTGAAGGGGATGGGGACGGGGGTGGGGGGGAAGGGCATTAATGTCACTTTTGCGAACTCTCATAAGTCACTTACATGCCCATGGGCCATGGCATTACTCCTCCCAGCACACAGCTCACATTTCGATGGCATTACTGTCAGTGCCACACTTAATGGACGACTGTGGGGTGCACTGAATACTTTCGCAAATTCTCAACTGCCACTCACATGCCCCTGACACCACTCACATGTCCCTGACACCACTCACATGCCCCTGACACCACTCACATGCCCCTGACACCACTCACATGCCCCTGACACCACTCACATGCCCCTGACACCACTCACATGCCCCTGACACCACTCACATGCCCCTGACACCACTCACAGTCCCCTGACACCACTCACATGCCCCTGACACCACTCACATGCCCCTGACACCACTCACATGCCCCTAACACCACTCACATGCCGATGGCATTGCCGTCAGTCCCGCACTTGATGGTCGACACTGGGGTGCAGGGCACGCCACGGTACCACATGCCCTCTGGTAACCCCATCTCTTTGCCACACGCCCTCAGGATTTCGCCTAAGATGGGATGGGAAGGGATGGGAGGGGTGAGAAGGGGAGGAGGGATATGTGCGGACATTGTGAGCGGGATAGATGGATGGAGATGTGAGCGGGAGAAGGGGAGATGTGCTAAGGGGTAGGGGAAATGCACTCACTACCAGGGTTCTAATCTTGATTGCACTCAAAACTACACTGCCAGGATTTCACCGCGTAGCTCCTGTTGAGCCCTTAAAACCCGCTCCCATGCTCTTCCGCCACACCTTTCCATGCACTCCCACACCGCTCTCCCCTCCCCAACGCTCTTCCCCCCTCCCTCCTTCCACACCTTTCCCATTCCCCCTTCCCCCTCCCCGTCCCTTTTTCCCTTTCCCCCCCCTTACCCCCCCTTTCAACACCCCACCTTGTTCCGCCGTCACATCTTACGGGCATCAGACTCCCCAGCCGCTTCCCCAATTCCCCCGTCTGCACTCGGCGGAAGGGGGGCGTTTCCCCCCATCTCTGCCCGGCGGGAGGGGCCCGATTCTCCCACCTCCGCCAGGCAGAAGGGGCTCCTGTCCCCCACTTCTGCCAGGCGGACCTTGCCCCCCCTCTCACCCAGGCGGCATCCCGCTCGGGGGTTCCGCCAGTCCCTCCCCCGTTCCGCCCCCACGCCCCGGCGGTAGCCCCCTCCCTCCGCCAGGGGGCTGGCTGGCGCAGGGGGAAAGTAGACAAGCAAAGACGAGAAGAGCGACAGAGAGGCGGTGTGAGAGTGGCAGTCGACAAATTGTAACACGTTTCTTGAAACCTCCGAGAACCCTTCTTAGCCCGACGATGGGTTTTGTAATCTGGCGGTGATTTTCGGCAGTAGCAATCATTTCTCTTTTAGAGCGGCGCTCTGAAAGCGCACCGAAAGAAGAGTGCGGCGGGTCCGAGAATCTGAGCTCGAATCACATTTCCAGTTGCGAATGCGCTTTTGAGTCAACTCAAAAGCAGAATCTGAGCTCGAATCACATTTCGAGATGCGAATGCGCTTTTGAGTCGACTCAAAAGCAAAATCTGAGCTCGAATCACATTTCCAGATGCGAATGCGCTTTTGAGTCAACTCAAAAGCAAAATCTGAGCTCGAATCACATTTTCCAGATGCGAATGCGCTTTTGAGTCGACTCAAAAGCAGAATCTGAGCTCGAATCACATTTCCAGTTGCGAATGCGCTTTTGAGTCGACTCAAAAGCACAATCTGAGCTCGAATCACATTTCCGGTTGCGGATGCGCTTTTTTAGTCAACTCAAAAGCAGAATCTGAGCTCGAATCACATTTCTGAGGAAAGTAGAACGAGAGAGAATGACTATGGAATGGAAGTGATACAGATATGCAACCCTAGAAATGTGTACCCCATATGAGCTACCCCACTATAGCCTACACAAGATTATAATTTGACACACCCCCATAGGCAAAGTGGGGGAGAACAAGGGGTCACAAGACCAGTCAAGCAAAGCAAAGCAAAGCTCACGGTGGATCACAAAGTCACCACACATTCCGAGCACAAGTTCAAGGCCACAAGGTCAGTTCACATGGAGGAGCACATATATATATAAGAGGCTAAGCAAGCAAGAACAAGAGTATATATATGTGACACTACAAGCAAGGTCAAGAAGTGAGCAAGTGAGGCAAGACAGGCACAAGACCAAGCTGAGTACAGAAGCGCTGATGATCACAAGGCGCAAGCGCCTTGGTGAAAACATCAGCAGTGTTGGCCTCAGAGGCCACGTACGCAAGCCGCAACTGTCCACGCTGCTGTAGCTCACGAGCAAGCAAGTAGCGAAGAGCAATGTGCTTTGTTCTGTGCTCCAGTCGCTGCTCTCGACACAAGGCCAGCATGGCCTTGTTGTCTACGTACAGGACTGGAGGAGAACGAGGCGGCTCTCCAAGGTCGATCAGAAGGTAGGTGAGCTAGCGAAGCTCCTGTGCAGCCATGGCCCCGGCGTAGATCTCAGCCTCACAAACTAGAGCCGAGAACAGAAGACTAGCTCGTAGTCGCGGTGAGCAGCTATGTGCAGCAAGTACCCGAAGAGTGGTCATCTTCGGGGTGGGAGAGAAGGTCTGAAAGTAGTCAACTCCCTGCCGCTGACTGAAGCCACGAGTCACGTAACGCGTCTTGAAGAGAGGCGGAGAACCCGGCGGCCGCTTCACCCTGAAGATCCACATGCCACTGACGATGTTCGCCCCAGGAGGGCGGACAGCGTCAACATAGGTGCCTGTGGACTTCCAGGAAGCCATCTCTGCATCCATACCTGCCTGCCACTGAGAGGAGTAGGGACCCTCTATCGCCTCCGCGTAAGAGCGCGGAGTCGGGATGTCAAGTGCATCCGGGTCTCCCTCAGGGGTAAGGAGTACGGACACGAGATGAGGTGAAGCAGCTGCCAGACACTGGAACTCCTCCTGCCTGTCCTCAAGGACGTCCGTGCCAAGGGCACACTCACCCCCGACGGACGGAGGACAGACAGACGCAGACTCAGCGACAAGACTAGCAGCGTATAGTCTAGGCGACAGCGAGCAGCAAAGTCGACGAGCTCAGTAACGATGGCAAACGCAGCAGTAGACTCGAAAGAAGGGTCAGTGACGACAGTAGCAAGGAGACGCGTGACAGTAGGACTGGCACCACGAAGAGAGTCCGACTCCGGGTCGACAAGAGCAGGAAGAGAAGACTCAGGAGGGGAAGGCAAAGGGGCACGCAGAGGAGCACTGGACGGACGCAGAGACATCCTGTGCGTGCCAGGGACAGGAGGAGGACGCTGACGCGAACCGCGACCACTAGCGCGAGCAGCACAAACAGGCGACGCAGGACGAGACTCAGGCTCACGACGCTCAGTAAGACCTCCAGTAGGACCAGCGTAGGGAGAAGGAGCAGGCAAAGGGGAGGCAGGCTGTAGCTGTGACTGTGACGGGACAGGCTGTGGACCCTCTAAGGGAGGAGGAGGACCAGGAGAAGGTGGAAGACCAAGAACCTGCTGCAAGAGTGGAACGAAGTACAGTCGAGGCCGTGTGGCAACGCCAGAAACAGCAGGGACAGCACTAGTACCCCCAGCAGGAGCACCCGCTCCAGCAGCACCTCGAGCAGCTCCAGAACCTCCAGCAGCACCAGGAGCTCCCCCAGCAGGACCGCCAGTGGTAGTCTCAGCGCCAACACCCTCAGCACCACCAGCTCCAGTCGAACCTGCAGGCCCAGCAGCTCCAGTACTCCCAGTACGAGCACCTCCGGGACCCGCGACAGCAGCACCCTCAGTAGCCGAAGAACCTCCAGCACCAGCAGCACGGCTCCAGCGCCGGGCAAACCACTCGCGCAGCTCTTGTGGAGAGAGTGGCTCCCGGCGAGACAAAGCACCCGGAGAACCTCCAGGCGGAGCACCTCCAGGCTCAGCACCCCCCAAGCCCAGCACCCACAGGCACAGCACCTCCAGGCGTGGCACCCCTAGGCCCAGCACCCCAAGGCTCAGCACCCCCAGGCTCAGTACCCCCAGGCTCAGCACCCCCAGGCGTAGCACCCCCAGGCTCAGCACCCCCAGGCTCAGCACCCCTAGGCTCCGCACCCCCAGGCCCAGTACCCCCAGGCTCAGCACCCCCAGGCTCAGCACCCCCAGTCTCAGCACCCCTAGGCTCAGCACCCTCAGCAACACCAGAGTCACCAGTGACCTCGACAGGCTCGACTGCGTCTACCTAGGACACACTTGAAGGGGCAGGACCCTGAGGGGGGAGGGGGTCTACCGGGGGGGGGACCTAGTACAAGGAAGAGCGGGGGCGGGGGGAGGGACGGAGTGCGGTAGGGGAAGAGGCGGTAGTAGGGGACCGACTCGTGAAACGTGACGTCATGGGAGGACAGAACATAGCGAGAGGTGGGGTGGTAGAGCTGCCACCCAGGCGTGTCGGGGGGGAACCCCAGGAAGACGCAAGGAGCAGCGCGAGGGGACAGCTTGTCCGCAGACAAGTCGCGGACAATCGCCCGAGATCCCCAGACTCGGAACGCCGACGCATCTCCAACCTTCCCCGTCCACAGCAGGGCTGGGGAACTCTCCGGCCTGGAGACCCTGGGGTGAAGGTTGATCTGATGCGCCGCGTTCCTGGCCGCAAACGGCCACAGAAAATGGGGGGCAGCCGCATGCATCATAGACGTACGAGCGACGTCCATGACCATGCCAATGCGGCGCTCAGCAATCCCATTTTGCTGCGGTGAGTCCGGAAGCGTGAAGGTCTGACGGATGCCTCGTGCACGACAGTAGGCTCGCAGAAGGCCAGAGGAGAACTCTCCGCCTCTGTCCGAGTGCAGACGTAGAACAGGAAAGTCCGAGCCGAAGCTCTGCCTGAGGTGGAGACGAGCTGCGCGGATCCAGTCGATCAGCACCTCAGTGACATCACCCTTGCTGCGCAAGGGGAAGACAGTGGTGTAACGCGAGTAGTCGTCAACAACGAGCAGGAAGTAGCGCTTGTGACCCTGTCCACAGACGCGAGCTGGGCCCCAGACGTCCATGTGAAGCGTCTGCAACGGGGCCTCTGTCGGAGAAAACTGGGAGGAGTGAGGGGCAGCACGCTGGCGCCCCTCGACACAAGGGACACAGGCAGGGCCAGGGCCCTGAGGAAGGGGAGGGAGGGACCGGGGCAGACCAGACACAAGAAGACGGGAGGCCATGCCTCTGAGCCGAAGCAGAGAGGGGTGACCAAGGCGGTGGTGCCAGAGGAGAGTCTCGTGAGACAGGAGACGATACGAACAGGGGGCAGACTCAGGACCAGACCTGGACGTTGCAGCAAACACCTGACCCGACACAGCTACCCTACCAGACTCAGCAACGGGAGGAGACGCAGTGGTCAGTGTGTACAGGCTCGACCCCGGCTGACGGGTAAACGTAGCCAGGTGTCGGCCAGTGCTAGCCTCGGTGCAGTGCGTCACCCGCTGGCGCGCAGGAGTGAACTGGTGGACACCCGCATCCTGTAGGTCAGCACCACTCACCAGGTTCGTAGAGAACGAGGGGAGGTAGAGACCAGACATGGTGCCAGAGGGAGCCGCCGGACACGGGAGGACTGTGGAGAAGCGAGATAGGACAGGGCCCCCAGAGGGGTTAGCCAGAGACACCGCAACCGGCCGACTAAACGGCGTGAGCATGGTGCGGTCCCGAAAGAAGGAGCGAGAAGCCCCAGAGTCAAGGGTGAAGGTGAGGGAGGCCGAAGCCGACGTAGTACCTGAGAGCGCAGACTCACCAGTACCTGAGGGCGTAGACGCACTGGCACCTAGAGCAGCAGCCTCACCAGCACCAAGAGCAGCGTTACCAATGCCCGGGTCGGGCGGGAAACACCGGTAACAGTCACCCTCATCACTAATAGTCACAGCATACATGGCAGCAAGGATAGCATCAAAGTCAAGATCATAGATAGCTACGCCTGCCCTGGACTGCTCTCCCCAGTGGGGGATCTCGCTGGCCTCCGGGAACTGCTGACGCCAAGCGTCCGTCAGGCGGCCAAAGCAGCGCTGGGTAGGGTGGGCACCCCCACACTGCTCACCCGCCGCGGTCGCCGGTGCGAAGGACGTAGGTGCAGGGACCAAAGCCCCCACCACGCTGACGCTGCGTGTACCACTCACGGAGCTGCTGAGGGGGGGGGATGTCCTGAGAACGCTGCTGCTGCTGCTGCTACTGGCGCTGACCACCACCAGTGCTGCTCCGCTGCGAAGCGCCACCCCGACCACCTCCACCTCCTCCTCCACCGCCTCCTCCACCTCCGCCACTACCGCCGCCTCCGCTAGGACCGCCGCCGCCTCCGCCGCCTTCGCCTCCACTGCTACCACCGACACCTCCACCCCCGCCACCACTCCCACCGCCACCCCCACTCC